GGACTTGAAACTGCTAGGCAACAACTTGTATGAACATACTAGGTTACAGGAAAAGACCCTTATTAGCTTTCCTACCTCTTTCCCACCCTTCATTTAAGCTGAGAATACAGGTCTCATTCACTTGTTATTTATAACTTCTGAAGAAGAAAGAAAGACCAAGAAAAAGAGAGTCAAAATTTGTCTTCTAGAATTTTTCATATCCTATTTCAGGTAACGAAATAGCTGAAAATAGCCTAAAAATGATTTACACACTTTTATATCCCATTATAGATACATGCTGGGTATATTTTTATATATGAAATCGGTTAACCTATTGCAGAAAACAGTAGATTCTATTTAAGTGCCAATAACCAAATAAATGGTTCAACACTGTTTTACTAGCTTCTATCATAAGATGAACTTTTAGCTTTTTTAATCTTACAAAAACCAATTCTACCCAGAAGTAACATGCTGTTACTATGTAAGCCATAAATTCATTAACAAAATTAGTCCTTGTTCCAAATATTTTAAAAATGTTTTCTGTGGGGTTCTTAATTTATTTGTTTTTGTTTGATTGGTTTATTTTGGTTTGGGTATTTTTTTTTTTGGTAGAGGGTGTGGTGGTTTTTTGTTTCAAAGGAACTTAAGCAGCACACTGGAATATGTGAGCTACTTATTCATTTAATTTTGACTCAAATTTCCCAACAGGGATAAAATAAGGTGTGACAAGTATGTGAAAGCCCATACGGCTGCAAAAATTGTACAGAGATACAGCACACATGCTTTTTAGTTGTCCTACATAAGGCAGTACAATCCTACTCTTTACTCTTTGAAAAGAAAAAACCAAGTGGATAGAAACACAGAGCATTCTTCCCCTGTCTGCTTCCATATGGACAAGGGAGTAATTACAAAAGTGCCAGACTATTGCCAAAATGTTATTTTGACTGAAGTTTAGTCTAGTTGCTAACCTACACTGACATTAGGCACTAGGTAGCAACAGTACTAGCATGTTCAGGAGCATGTAATCCCTAGTCCTGCCATGGCTATACAAACTATGAGCAGAACTACCACTACTACTCAGAAAACAGCATTGTTCTCAAAATGTTAGGAGAAAAATCCATCCTGAATAAACTGTGCAAGCCAGAGAGATATCTGGGTTTGTAGCAGTGCAGGAGAGTTATTAAGGAATGAATACACACTATATATTTCAATGATTATCAGTATTAATAGTAAAAAGACCTTTTTTTTTTTTTTTCTCCACTGGCTTGTGACATTTTGAAGTCTCTTTGTTGCAGTGTACAGAAAAGAAATATGTTCAAACAGGCATGGAAATAAATAAAAAAAAATTAAACAAAACCCAAACCTATTCACCGGTAATCTTGAGATACACCTAACCATGTAGCATTTTTCTCATTGTAATATCACGGTACTTGGTATCTCTGTTTCAAACCAGATCATTTTCTTGCAGTTTTTGTTCATCCCTGGGCATTTTTTTAATATTGCATAAAATGAATATTGTGGAATAAAAGTAAAAAAGAACATAAAAATCTGTCTTTACACAGTGAATTTTTAAATCTCACTTATTTTCCTACTGTTTTATTCTTACAAAATCTCTCTTTTTTTAAACTTAATGCTACATATGTGTTAGAAGAAGTGTTAGTTTTGAGTGAGGAAGTCAACTTTCAAAATTGTCTTGAAGTGGTTATCCTTCTAAAAACAGAAAACAAAATCCTCAGCTTGTGTTTGGAACTCGGATAACCAGGTGCCAAACTTTCTCCAACAACACCCAGCACAAAAATGAATGGAGAAGTGCCTTCAGCTGCTCAGTTACTGCTGGTGATGTTCATGCCCAGCCTGCTGAGCTTTATGTACGACTGCAGCAGAAGCATGCAAAACTAAAGTACCCATTTGCATTTAGAACCAAAGCTTGCCTTTTCATAAGTCTTTGCCTTGGCATTTTACTGCCTGATGTGTACACAGACATGTCATCCGAGCATATAAATAATCAGAAGTTGAAAAGGATAGGCATGCATTTTGAGGCTGAGCTGATTTTCAATACCTCATCTGATTTTAGGGTATGAAAAGTAGAAAGGTAATTGCACTCAGAGGAGTACAGAACATCATGTGCTGGACAGTAAAATTTTTAGGCAGATTCCAGGCTACAAACTTAATTTCTTCCATGATTTCTTACTAACAAGCATACATTATCGTGCAGGGACAACGTGACTCCATAGTGAACTGGAAGGTAAGGCTCAGAAACTCACCTAACCTGCATACACAATTATTAATGGTCTTTAATTCAATTTATTGTCCAGAAGACAGTGTAGTTGCCTGATTCCTGTGCTTCAATTCCTCACTTCTATCCTAGACAATGTTCTTTACAGGGTGGGCAGGGAGAGTCTCAGCACTGGGAAAAGCACAAGGTTCCCTGGAGTCAAAATGAAAAGCTAAGGACATCCTGAGGTTTGGGAGACAGCCACCAGCATGGAGAATCACCTTTGCGTATGTCAGAATATGTTGTCAAGTTTGGGTGAAGGGCAGTCAGTTTTCTCCAGAGCAGAATAGTTCTGTGCTTTGCATTGGTAGCTGGAAAGGTATTGACAACACACCAGTTTTTTGGCTACTGCCAAGTAGTGCTGGCACAGCATCAGTGCTGTCTTTCCAACATTTCCCACACAGATGGGCAAGATCTTGGGAGGAGCCACAGCCAGAACAGTGGACCCAAAGTGACCAAATAGATATCCCATGGCATAGGGCACCTGCTCAGATATAAAGTATAATAGAAAGGTGGAGGGGATGGAGTGGGGGAGTGGACATTCATTATTTACAACCTTTGCCTCCTGATGAAATCGTCATTTGAACTGAATTCCTGCCTCCCAGGAAGTGGCTGGGCATCTCCATAAGGAATAAGATCTGTTTTTTTCACTTTTCTTGGCATGTATGTGACCTTCAGTTTTGCATTTGTAAACTCCTCTTTTCTTGAACCACAAGGTTCTCCCCATCTTATTTTGTCACACTGTCCTGCTGGAAAGGAGGTGATAGACTGGCTTGGTGGGCACCTGGCACTAGCCAAGGACTACCTACCACACAGAGGAAAGTAAGTCAAAAATAGTAGGAAAATTAGAGAAAAATCTAACACTGCAGAGAAAGAAGTCTGAATTCTTGTGTCAAAATACAGCAGTATGTAGGTATAAAAATTATTAACAGATTTGATCATTTGATCATGTCAACAATTTGTACCCTTTTAATGTAGTCCAACAGCTATTTCACAGAGTACTTCTCTGGACAAATATTCAGTAGTGCAAAGTCCAGTTCAGCTCCCTAGATAAAATGATTATAGAAATAACAAATGTCAATTATTTGGTCCGCTCTATAGCACTGTAATCAGGATACTCTAGGAACAAATAAACAACAAAACCATACTAAAAAATGGAAATTAACTCACCAGTTCTCATATTAGATCACTGAAGACCCTGACTGATTCAGTGTTGCTAATTGTGGCACCAGTAAATGTTCTCCCTCTAGTATAGGCACATTTCTCTCAAATCCTTGCCCAAAAACTTTAAATGAGCAAGCTGAAGGAGCCACATTGAATTTGGCTGTTGAACAAGAAGACTACTAACTTTTCATCACTTGTATTTCAAACGTGCTAAGCAGAAGTACATTTTGCAAGAAGTCTAAGATGGGTGTTTTTTCCTTGAAAAAAGATGATTCACATTACACATATGATGATCTTTCAAGGGTGAACATGCTTCATTTGTTGTGACATCTATGGATGATTACCAGCTCTCAACAGGTGTTAAGGACATCAGAGAATTAACCCATTGCTTTGCAACATCTTGCAGTCTTAACTTCTTTCAGAGGAGAAATATAACTGAAGCTCTATATTGTTTGAAGAAGAAATTGATACACCAGAGAAGGAGGAAAAAAAACCAACACAAGACAAAAAAAGCCAGCCCCCAACGGTTAGGTGAAGTCTACAAAGATTTTTAAGAATACATAGGGAAGAAAAATCTGTTACAGAATAATAATAAGTACAAACATAGGTGCTTGTTTGGACACATAGATCCATGTATTCCAAAGTGCCAAGTCATTCCCACATTTTAAGGATATTAAATTGTTGAGGAATCAATTCAGTGTAGGTCACTGGGTAAGCAGCTGCAGTGGGAGCTGCAGGTTGAGCTCTGGCTGGGAATCCCAGGCCCTGACATACCACCCTTTGCATAACAAATGTCACAGGGACCTTACCAAGCATTCACACATTAAGAGTATGAAATTATATGACAGATTATTCTAAGGTGTTGTATTTCTTTTACGTTCAAAAAAATCTAAATTTTCTTGAAAAATATTTCAGCACATTTTTACTTTTTAAAGGGGTAGTCTAAAAATATGTTGCAGCAATGTAAGAAAGCTCAGTTTTAATAATATGTATCAACATGATTTTTCAATTTCATGATGATTTCTAACTGCACATGTAGAAAGCTACAAAGAAAAAAATACATATTTAAATTTTTCAGGGGTTTTTGAAATAATATTTTTAATAATACATGATCTTGTAAACCTACTACTTTTACTGTTACATAATTTTAAATCAATAATGTGTGCTTTCTGAATAGTACCACCTCAGCCAAAGACATTTAGATAATTATTTTCAAATTTAATTTCAGGATCCATTTTTTATTTGGAGCTTCAATTTTTTGCTGCAAGATATATTTTCACACTTTTCACTATTTAATACAAAGATAAATGAAATTATAGTTTAGATTCCTATTCAAATGCAGTGTTTTTAAACATCCTCCTCAGGATGATGTTTTAAAGACAGGTCTTGTCAAAGAAAATACAGAATATTTTTCAACATAAGTCATTAAAAACCTCAAAATCACAGAGTAAAATCAAGATGAAATACATTAATGGAAACATTTACAGCAGACAGGGCTCTTAGAAACAAAAGCTCATGCTCTCATTACTTGCCTTCAACTTGAAGAGTTCCAAACAGAATCAGTGGGTAAAATCAGACTCACCTTCTGAATAGTTATGATTCCCTCCTGGGTGTCTCTGTCAACAGAAATTTTGAATACTCCCAAACCATCACCATCCACAATCTTGTACTCCATTTCAGCATTAGGTCCAACATCTGCATCTGCAGCTTTTATTCTGGCCACCACAGAAGCCACTGGCAAAGACTCTGGGACATTATACTGATATGATCCTGCAAAATTTAAAAAGTTAATGAATTCAGAGTCTTCTGGGACTGAAAGCCAAAAAAAAAAAAAAATCAAAAAAATAAAAATCTAGCTTTCTTAAATCCACCTTCCTTTAAATCATGTGCCTGAACCTGTACTCAGGCTACAAGAATATATTCCTCAGTTTTGAAATAGAATTGCCCTTTTTGTTAGGTTTTCTTTGTGATAGGCTCTAAGTACAACAGGCATAACTTCTTATGAAAAGAGAAGTATAAGGCAAAAATTGCAACAATAAGATTTAAAAGTTAAATGCAAATCATGATTTGAGTCCCTGATAATGCAGTTTTACTTTGTTTTCCAGAAAAGAGGAAAGAGAAGCAAATAAGTAAAATAATATCAATATAAAAACTTATTATTCTATATATATATTCTATATATATGATTCTATTATTCTATAGCTGTATATCTTGATTAGTCGGTTCACAATCTTAATATTAGAAACTAATATATGTTAATTTCTTTAACAGTAAGTGCACAATCTTGAGAATTCTAGCTTTTTTTATTCAAGCACAATATGCTGTCAAAAGCATATCAGAATGCATTCTGTAGGCAATCCCTCACCTTCAAAAACAACTTCAGTTATTCTATTATTATTTCAAGCAGCTGGTGCCTTGAAACAACAGGAAATCTATTATGTACAAATCCATTTTTTCCATCGTTGGAGGTGAGGCTGGAGCCGACATGAATATATCCTTCACATTACTTTAATTTTATCTTACCACGGTTTTTTTGCTGTGTTTTATTTTTATTTTTTTATAGAAAAAGCACCCCAGACAGAATTCTATGGATAAACTGAGCTCTTCTGGTTTGAGCATACAACTGTGTTCTCCTTTCTTCAGGTTAGGGTGAGAGCCACCTTGGTCACAGAAATCAAATGGAGGGAAGGTGACTTTCATGATTAATTCTTTAGGAAACAGTGTAAGCATATAGCAAAGCCAAAGGAATACAAAGAATTAAGGGTCAAATTAAAGAATCCTTAAGTGTAAGTGGAAAGACCTAAATATCTATTTGGATATATTTTTTTTTTTTGTCTATTTATTCATAGAGAAAAAGTAAAATACATTAATGCATGTCCCTTCTGCTGTACACCACTTCATTTCAACTGTGCATTTTCAAATTTACATGAGGCAAACCAAAACAATGTTATAATAATAATAATAATAATAATAATAATAATAATAATTATAATAGTAATAATAATAGTGTTGAAGTCAGTGTTTAACAAAGTACTTAACATGGAAAATAAGCACTTTTTGTTTAGAAATAACATAGAAAACAGCAGTGTGTAGGAATAATACCACAAGTCACGTATTTACAAAGTAACTTACTGCGTGGAAAGCGGGGTGGGTTGTCATTAACGTCAGTCAGGGTGACAGTTACAGATGTAGTCCCTGACAATCCCCCATTCTGCCCAACCATGTCCTTTGCTTGGATAACTAAGAGGTACTGGTCCTTGGCTTCTCTGTCCATATTCGGAAGGGCAGTCTTGATAACACCTGCAGAAAGAAAAGGTGTCAAGGATTGAGCAAGTAAAAAATATGCTACTGTGAAAGCTGAGTTTGCCTTTAAAAGGGAACAGCAGGTCAGTGATCACAGCAAGAGTGGAATGAATTAATTCCAACACTAATATAACAGGTTTTGACTAGGAGTTGCACTGACATACCGTAAGTTTATTTTAAAGAGTCACCAAATCCACCAATTTTTATTTAGTACTAGATTCACTGGGTAATGCTGTGCATGATTGTGTTTTCCAACTATCTTCTCCCTGAACTAGTCTTCAAAATGTCTTGGGTAACACTTCCTTCCTTGGAAGGTGTAATCTTCTGTATTTGATTTCCCACTCTTTTAGAGCTAGGAAGGACAGCATATTCTGCATTCATTTTTAAAATTCTAGGGTCAAGATTCATTTCATTATCTTTTGAATACCCATTCAAGACATTAACTCTTACCAATACTGATAGCATGCCACACTTTGCAGATATATGAAATTATCGTATTTTGCCATATATTGGATTTACCAATATGCACTTCTAAATCACAGACATAATTACGGGATATTTTTTTATTTATTAATGCAATACTTAAATATATGAAATAGTTTTTGTTATGTCCATTTGATGATCTGCGTAATTAATTAACTAGTAATTAATTGACCTGAAATGACAACTAGAAGAAAATTCTGTGTTTCATCCTTTTAGCTATGCTGATATACATCCTAAAATAAATATGCTTTCTCAAAATATGATGATTTTATGAATATTTCATGCTCAGTACATAGTACAGATGCTAACCCTGATTTCCAGAGAGGCAGCCGTTTGCTCCTCCAGCACTTAGTGTCAGCAGTAAAAGAAACATAAACAAACTAAATAAAGAAAAGGCACATTGGGACACATATCTCTTCATCTGCTATTTGCTGAATGTTTGCTTAGAGTTTTATTTCTTTTTTCCCTTATGAATGTTGGACCTGCCATTAATCACCTCTGGGTTGAAACATTTATTTCACATACAGACTGCCTGGCACTATTTCACCCATTTTTCAAGACATGTAGAAATACAATTAATAGACAATTTAATAGTGTTACTGTTTCTACCTTGCTTCTCTTGGCATGCTGGTTTTTCTGTCACAGTTAAATTACCAGCCAAAATTACCCAATCATTTGGAAGAAAACTGTCATGCACACAGGAAATTTGAGTATCACATTAAAGTGATGAAAATGTATGCAAACACTCCAGTCTGATTTCTTCAAGATTTTCATTTAGCAGAAACTACCATATTATTGTTCAAGGGCTGCCTGCAGTCATTATCACAACATACATGGTACATAAACACACATGGAGAGGTAGAAAGAGAAACAGAGAGAAAACCACTATAAATCATACCCATCAGAGGGAAAAGGAGAGTGCTATATATCCCTGCTGAGCATGGATCTGTTGCAATATGAAAATAATTATAGTACTTATTTCTGCAAATTAAGATGTTGCTAAATAGAGTGAAACCTTTTGGTCACAACATTGGGACTCAAGTCTGATTCACATCACAGATTGTTTATGATAAAAAGGACAATTTTTTTTCCTCTTTTGTCTCAGCTTTGTTATATACAAAATGAAGGTTATAACTCTTCTTGTAGGTGTAAGTGAAGGCTCAACCACTAAACTGAAATGAGTAGAGCAGGAATTTAGTTTCCTTCTTTATGAAATGATACAGTAGAATGCGCAATATATATTAAACCATCAGAGGATTAAAATTTGCATTTTTTTGTGGCTTCAAAATATTCACAAAATTTCAAGAAAATTGTAAAAACAAAGTTTCACCAGTAATATGCTTTGAAAGTGGAAGAAAAATATTACACCTGATAAGCATAAGAAGCACAGTGCTTTCTTCTTCAAATTAATAAAGAAGGGATTTGTTTCCCACAACAAAACTTCAGTTTGAAAAGTAGAATGGACAGTAATTATTCCTTAAATTTATTATTATGGAACCTGTCTGTGTGACATTTAGATATTTCTGAAATCTGAAAAAAATGTTCAATGTATTTTGAAATTTTCACTGATAAGAGAGATGACAATGGGCAGCAGACCAAGCAGATAGTAGATTGAAAATACATTAAATTCTATTCCAGCCAAGTCTGTTCAGATGTGTGGCTTTCATAATCTATTCTAAAGAATAAGAGATTAAAAGATCAACAAAACCCGAATGTATTCAATTAACCAATAGGTCATATTAATATAAGTTCCTAGCAATTTTTAATGCACATTTTCCTCTTTTTCTCAGCATTACTGCAAAGGGTTTATGTAAGTTTACCTGTTTTGGGCTCCACAGAGAAGTAAGGCTGTCCTTGCAATATGCTGTAGACCACTCGAGCACTGTTGCCATAAGTAGGATCATCTGCATCAGTGGCTGTCACTTGAACCACAGAGGTACCTGTAAAATGTTTGAGGGACTTTTGCACATGAAAGATAGAAAAATCTGAAATACACTTACTGAATATGCTATGCCAGTACATATCTAGAACAGTGTGAGGTGGCTTTTTCACAACTGTTCATCGTTTCCTAACTCCGTTCAGTGTATCAGGTTCTATTTGTAAACTAGGAGTATCAGCTATTACAAAATTCCATCTTCCCAAACAGTCACAGGCATTGACTTACAGCAGTAAAAACCATCTCACTCATTAGCTCCTCCTCTCCATTTCTGCCTTTGCTTGGTGGAGGAGATGTCAGCAAAATTTCTGTAGTAGCTTTCCTTTTAAGAAAAGTCTGTGTGCTGAAATTGTAGTGACTCATTAGAAATTCAAACATACATACATATGCATGTTTTACAAATTTTGATAAATGTACACAAAATTATTGCTAGCCTATGAAATTACTTACTGCTTCATAAAGACATGGCTGAATAGTTTCTTTCCCAGCTCAGAGAAAACCTGGTGAAAGCTCTCTAAATTTCTTTAAAAAGCAGTAATTCCCTTCAATAATCTGCAATACTGATTTCCTTCAATCCTTCCTATCTGCAATATCAATTGTGGTAATCTATTGCGTAAAGATTCCTTGAGCAAGAACTATCTCTATATTGACGGGAATAAGGAAGCAAAATTTCTAACTGGCTGATAAAAAGGTTGTATTTTGTAAGGACCTTATTCTGTTTCCAGCTCCTATTCATTATGTTCTCCATGTCAGTTCCCATTTGTTTTGTTCTATGTGACAGCTTCCATGGTGTCTGCTGAGAGCAGAATAAAATAACACCCGGGAGCCAGGGCCTTGGCCATGGTCACCACCCGTTGATAGAGAGAAAAGATTATTTTTCTCACTGGCAGATTGTCTGGAACATTCAGACCTTCCATTGAACAGCACAGGGACCCATTTGGAGGTGAGATTGCAAATTAATATTGTAACAATTTGGCAGATGCCCAGTAAAGGTCTTCAAGAGAAGACCAGATTGCTTCATAGACTTTATTTAGACACACAATTAGAGAAAAACACTTGTTAAACACAGTGTTCATTTTCTGAAAGGACACATTTTTGACATGTGAAAATGAGACCAGCCCTGAAAGCCCTGAAATCACTATTTAAGAACAAATTGCAATAGCAAGTGTCCAGGGTGAACTTCACATAAATTGTATTCTGGTCAGTTTAACTTGGAATTTTCAGAAAATGGGATAAAGTTTTGAAATTCTTTTTATCTTATATTGTATGTCTCCCATCCATTTTCCTCATCTTTTCCATTCTCAGTTAAGTAGAACAACATGAATGGAGCCTGGGACTAGGCTGAAAGTTTGGAGACAGGATTAAGTGCAGACCTCCATAAAATGGAACAAAGAATGGGTCCTGCTTGAAAGAATTCTGACCAGAAACGATCATTAATAAGATAAATTTATTCAGGTTATGGCCTAGTTAGCCCACGTTCCTGATCTCTGTTCTTGAAGTATCCATGACAAAGTAGTACGATTGCAGTTCTATTTAAACGCAATTTTTCTCTCCTGTGACCTGTCTAATATTTTTGGACAAGGAAAAGGTTCTTCCCAACCTGAAATTTCACATGCAACTATTAAGTAGATGGAAAGTTTAAAAAGAAAATTGGTAGTTAATCCATCAAGTCATTTATCAGTTATAGGACTTAAAATACATCCATTTTCTGTTCACCAGTAACTAAGAACTTTGATTCAGTATGTCAAACTGATTTTACAGATTACTCTATAATGTAATTTCATACAGGGACCTATTTTAAACTTGCCAAAGTCTATCCAGCTTTTGAGAACAGGGGTATCATAATGACTGTTTGACATCCTGTGCTCTTTGTGAAAGCCAAGCTTACCACATTTACAGTCACTAAGCCCTGCCAATGAAGCTTACAATGTCTGCAAATATTGGCAAAAGTGCTTATAAACCTCACGCACTGTTATTTCTTTGCCCCCTGCTCTAGCTGCTTTCAAAGGCTCCAGACCAACACAAGATCAAAGAAATTATAAGCTCTGCAATCTCAGCACAGACATTTTTGAAATGCTGCAAGTTTGGAAGTGGTTGTTTGCTGTAAAAATCTATTGATGCAGCAAACAAGCCCTTTACATTCCAGGAAATTAATAAAGTCATTATCTGAATCTAATTGTCTCTCTCCTAAAATATATCAATCCTTCAAAAAAGGGTGGTTCTTAAGTAGAAATTCTAACATCAAATCTTTCTGCGATAATTCCACTTAAATGTAACCAGTAACTAAAAAACAATGATACTTTTCCAGTCCCTCTGTGCTAATCAACTTCTTTTAAACATCAGTGGGGGAAAGATCTGAAACCCATCCTATTGTCATTATTTCTTTACTAATTGTACACACAAATAAAAAAGAGCTTCTGAAGCCCAATGCTGAGAGGGAGATTTCTGCACAACGTTTCTTTCAAAAATATGAAAGATAACAGAAGGTATTCTAACTATGTGAAAAGTCCTGTGTGTAGGAAATCTGTTCCAAGGAAACAAAATGCACAGAAAAATCTGTATTTGAGGATTTCAAGAGATTTTTCCAGAAGAAGCAGATTGCTCTTGAAGAACAGGAATTCCTTCAGAGTACGATAATTGCTGTGCACTGCTGTCCTAATCCTTCTGCAATGGATTGATGTCAAATTAAAATACTTACTTCCCCTTTAAAAAACCCAAACCATAAAGCTGTGGGGATACTTAGGGAGAGTAAATAAACCTAAAACTGTGAGGAAAAATGGGTAGCTGCATTGTAGTTCCAAGTCCATCATTGTACAAGAGCTTGTGTTCCTGCACTGGAATTGTCCTCCTTGTATCCCTGAGCAGTTTGCCTTACCCTCTAGCAGTCACAGTCAGCTGTCATCCAAGATTATGCATCCAAGATTAGGATTTACAGGTAACAGGGTCAGTCAGCAAATGGTAACACACCTTTACTCCACCCAACAAAATGAGCATGCCAATAAATGTTGTTTAGTCACCACTATTCAGAGCCTGGAGTGCAAGTGTAAGTGGAAGTGTACCTTGACCCTACCCCAAACTTTCATTAGTGGATTTCAAACTGCAGCTTCGCAACTATAACTTAAATTACTTACAGTTTGTGTATTTTTGTATGGGTGGCTAAAAAAAAATTAATATGCATTATTTATTTTAAAAATAGCTTTCTCTTTTAAATATGGATTCCTCTAAAATTATTTTTTTTCTACAGTTATGCCTTTTTAACAAAGCTTGATATCTGGATATCAGTTCATTTAAAAGAATTTTACATGTATCAACTTCATAAATTTTTTCAACAATTGTATCAAGTACTGAGAAAAAAATCTGTGCTGCTTATCAAAGTGTTCCATGTAATTCTTTTTTTGATAGTAGCTAGTAACAGACTTAATTCTGTGCGACTGGCACAGATTTCTTGTTTTATTTTCCAGAATTTTTAAGATAATTTGTAACATAATATTTAATAGAGATTGGTAGAGATTACTAAATTACAGTAATTTTAGAACTTGACCTATTTATACTGATATATGGGTAAAAGGACAGGTGGATATTTGCAGAGAGGACCTTGAATTTAGAATGTTATTTGCACTTAAGTATAGCCAAGTCAAGGCTCAACAATGTTCCTGACACACTGCAGAGATTAACCTTTTCTGTGATAGGAAGAGAAAAAGCTAAACTGGTTGCTGAAATTTGAGTTGGAGATCCTTTGAAGGGATCCATTTTGAATCTCTAAGTGTATTATTTTAGAAACATTTACAGAGCTTTTTAGAAATATTGCTAGTAGCTTGCAGTATATTTTATGCAAATTTTGAAATAATGTTTTACGAGAAATGATTCTGTGCCTTCTGTTTTAATTGGTGAGATCATTCAAAGGAAAACTGGTTTCTAAAGCTAGATTAACAAATGGCTAATTTTTAAACTACACAAACTCTTATCAATTGAATTTTAGCTAATTAACAAATTGAAAATGGAGTTTTAAGGCAGTCAGTTATGAAGTATTCATTTATATCAATTAACGATGTGTACTATGTGTAACACACAAAACAATTACATGATGGCATCACATTTCTACATGGTATCAGCTGCTACTAAAAACATTAAACACCTTTACTATCAAGTTATCCTGAAGTCCTGCATAATCCTTGCATACAACAATCCAGACTGGGTCTGCTCTGTGCCCTCAGGTATTTCTATGCTTTTACCACTAGGTCTCACCCACAGCTGATGTGGCAGTGCCTCCACAAGCTTTCCTCTCCAGTAGTATGAAAAGGGACAGTCAGAATCCTCTTCACCTCCTCCCTCCCCTCCCACTGCCTAGTTACGTTGCCATCACCTGGGGAAAAACTCGAGAATGGTTCCAGCTAAGCAGCAAGGTCAGACAAAGGGAAACAGAGGTGGCTTGTGTTGGAGAGGGACACTTCATGCATGCTCTCAAAGCCCACTACACCCTGTATCAAAGATTTAAGCCTGATACAGTGCTTTTGGTTTTTTTTCTTTGTTATATAATTCCGATATTTCTATGCATCTCAGTCAGGGTAATCATGGCAAGACAGATATGTAAACATGGCAAGAGAGATATTTGTTGTGCTGGGTAACAAGAAAAGTTGTTGATATGGCTGGAGAGCAGAGAAGATTAAATAAACCAAAACTATGTCGGGCACTGGAATTCTCATCCCTACTTCCCTTGTCTACAAGTCAAACAGACCAGTATCCTTTTGTTTGAAACATACTGCTGCTCAGTTTTTTAAGTACCAGGACACACTTTAAAAATATATAACAAAAACAAATCCTTATGATTTTCAGATAAGCCATATCTTTGGGGGGTTTGCCATGAATAGATTTACAAGCCATCAAGATATTTACTCTATCAGGATAATCAATATAATTGGGTCTGACCCAAATATAATTTGAACCTGACCTGAAGTCATTTCAAATAAAAGAAGAGATTTACTTCAATTAGCCTTAGATAATGTCCGAAAATATTTGTCAAATAAAATACAGAACCATTATACTTGCATAACCAGCCTGTAGGTTAAAGGTTATATTTTTCCAAGCTTTACAGTTAATATGGGTTTATAATCTTGTGATCTCTTTCATTTCCTTTAATATCCAATTAAAAATCCCTGTCATGGGTATAATTTTAAACAAAATAGGAGAGAGATACTTTCTGTCTCCTTAATATTTCATGGATGCTCTAGGTGATTAATTAAAAATTATGTTTTATGAATAAAGTATGAATTGCTGTAGCTATGTAAGACAAAATGCGACAAAGTGTGACAAAGTGTGACAAAGGAATTACATAGTAATCCTTAACTCTGTAACAATGGAACTCTGTAACAATTTGGTAGGTGTGTGATACTAACCATGAAGATGTTTAAAAGGTGAAGTTTCAGGAACTTCATGAATTTGAAACCACCCTTAGTTGACACAAATCTTGGCAAGTGCACAAATCTCAGTTAATAATTTTGCATAATACTTCACCTGAATTGAAAATACATTTGGTGTTGTGTGGACCATATGGAAGAGAATTTCTTTTACTCCTTTATGATGTAAAGATTCAAGAATATATGCAAAGCAATTCATTTTGAAAAATACTCCTTATATTCTCCTCTGCACACAGTGCACTCCCCATAGATTGATTTCCAATATATTTGTGGACCAAATGGAGCATAGGTAGGAGCAGAGGTATGGATTTGTACGTGTAGGTGAACCTCATATATCTGTAGTAGTTGTCTGCACATCAATATGTCAGTGCAATAAAAGACAGAGGTGATAAATGCAAGAGTGAAATATGGAGATAATTTCTTTTCAGGCTATAAGACAAAACTGAAAAAAATATAATAGCTTTTGCATGCTACATCTTACTTAAATAATCTTATTCTAAAATAAAAGGGCAACTTAAGAAAAAAAATATGTATTTTAAAACAACGTATTTTTGAAGTGGATTATTTAGGGTTTATGGTCTTAGATTATCTGTTCTCTAGATTTTTTCAAGGTTCAGAAGTAAAAAGTTTCCAGCAATATACCACAACTTAATCTCCTCCTTGTAACTCTGAAAAAGGTTTGGTGTCTGTCTTTCTTCCAAGGCTAATCTTGCTTCTTCAACCATCCACATAGTGCTCGAGTGACAATGAGCAAATGCCAAGTATCAATGAGAAATAGTGCCTATGCTTACTGCTTAGTAAAATAAATGTATGGAAAACTCATTAGCAATGTTTTACTTATATTGACTCTAAAGCTGAGTTTCAAATATATAAGCAACGTTTGCTGCTGATTGTTGCAAGCATTTAGGTAGGGAAGATTCTTTTTCTCTCTCTAGTTCTAATTTAGATGCATTGTTTAACAGTCAAAAACAGAGGAGATCATAGTGAAGAAACTATAGCAAATTTTATAGTAGCCTTACTGTAAGAGTACCACATTTTAAAATGGTTTAAAATCAGTCAAGCAAAGAAAATCTTTATTTCAATCACCACAGAACTCTCTCAAGCTGAATTGAGTCTTCCCATGTATATATTTGTAGTAAAGTAAGTTGTTTTTATTTTTTATTTTTGTTTGGAGTCTTTTGTGTTTGGTATTTTTGTGTGTGTGTGTGTGTTTTTGTTGGTTTTTTCTTGTTTTAGTTTTTGTTTTTGTTTTTGTGCTTGCATTTATAATTTCACCTAAAAGTAACATTTACCAAAACATCTCTGGGCCAAGCTTTAATCTAGTCTAAAAGAGCTTTCAAAGGAACAGTGGCACTTGGCAATGGATGAGCATTTGGTCACTTTAGAATGACGAGATAATGGATTTAATTTTGAAATCCTTCCCTAATTCAAACTCAGGAAAAATCAGCATTTCTTAGTTTCCAAAAAAGGGTCTGAAGCGTCTAAAACCCATTCTTCTCTGATCTCAGTAGAACTTTGAACTATTTCAAGTTGTACCCCAGTTCCTGCTGCTTGCCTATATTCTCCAGAAAATGGGATTTCAGTGTATGGAAAAATATCCAATAAACTATTACTAAAATGTGCAAAACTTACAAAAAATTATGCTATTCATTAGCAGGAATTTGAAGAGTTTGTTATGAACAGACCTTGTCTGAATGAAATCATAAATTATAACCTCTGAGTACCATAACATAGGTGTGAAACTTATTACTCTTAATGGGAATTATAAAACAAAGCCTCTGGGCCCTGGAATAAGAAATGCACCATAAAATGGTTATTTGAATCCTTGCATAGCTATTTGAGTTTCACAACATTTTTGAAAGGGTAAATACTTAATCTAGCATGTTATTTCCAGTTAAGTCCTGAAATATCTAACTGTTGCAGGTGCCTCATAGATAATTAAGTAGCTTAGTGTGAAACAGTAAAAAATAATGAAACTTTTAAAAAGGCAATAGGAACAAATTTCCCACAACACCAACAGTGTATTTTGCACTTACCCACAGGAGACATCTCAGGAACTCCAGCAGTGTAGGGACCATCCAGAAATTTTGGCTCATTGTCATTGATGTCCTGAATCTTAATGACGAACTCAGACTCTGGCTCCACGGGTTTATTAGTCAGCCTATCTAGTGCTTGTGCTCGGAGCGTGTAGTAGGCCTGCTCTTCTCGATCCAGCCTCTTTGTAGCATGAATATCCCCCGTGTTCTCATCAATAATGAAAATGGAACTTGCCCCTTCGCCTGACAAGATGTATTTGATGGAACCATCTCCTTTATCAACATCAGAGTGAAGCTGGTGAAAAATTGATGAGAGATGAGATTAACTTACAAGAGAGTCAGTGGCATGGAGATATGTAAAAATAATTCCTATGTTGAGCAGTAGTACATGAAATTTTATTGTTCCTGGAAATATAAGCTGAATGCTTATCAGACACACAGCATGTGAGGGACCATTAGAATCTGTAAATTTGCCCCTTTAATCAAGAAAACTTCATTCTTTACGGCAAACAATCTCACTCTTCTCATGCCAGATTTTTACACACGCAAAATGAATACATATGATCATAACCGTGACTTTATTCCTACCTGAATTTAACCACATTGCTCACTTCAGTTTATAATCCTACTGAAGGGTGAGACTTCAAACAAATGTCAGTATAAACTTAATGTCAGTATGTATTTGCTCTTGTGTGTATTTACATATTTCCTCAGTATTTACTGTGGAGAGCAGTAAAACATGTCAAATGTTCCTCATGAAGGAAAGCAGCAGGCAGGTACTGATCTCTTCTGTCTGATGGCCAGTGACAGAATTCAAGAGAACGGCATGAAGTTAAGTCAGGGAGGTTTAGGTTGGATAGCAGGAAAGTTTTTCAGCAAGAGGGTGGTTGGGCACTGGAGCAGTCTCTCCAGGGAAGTGGTCACAGCACCAGCCTGCCAGAGTTCAAGAGGCATTTGGACAACAGTCTCAGGCACATGGTGACTCTTGTGGTTTCCTGTGCAGGGCCAGGGATTGGACTTGATTATCTTGATGGGTCCCTTCCAGCTCAGCATATTCTATGATTCTATGAAATGAGGTAAACTGTACTGGTTGATAAATTGCTCATTACTATCTGATGGGCCTGTAACTTCAATTCTTCTCTTCCATATCTTGCTTTCCATTATCTAATTACAGAGAAATGCAGACTCTGAGAAAGTGTCTTGGCACTTTTGGAAGCACACAGAATTAAAAACCAGGTGCAGTTTCCCTGGGACTACTTGTAGTAGGCACACAAGAAATATACTTCAGCAGGTCAAAATGTCTCTTCCATTAGAAAGGCAAGATAGATTTACAGAAAGAAAAATTTTTTCCTCATCACTCAAGGTATTTTAACTTACAGAGCAAGATTCCACAGTTTTTTTAGCTCTATTGTGTCCACTGAGTTTCACCTTTCTGTTACAGAACACAAACTCAAACACCCCTTACATACTTCTCAACTGTGTATCAGGAACGTAATTGATCTGGATATCATATTATAGTAACACACACATATGATATATTTAATACTGTACAGGTGAAAAGAATATCAGTAAAATTTAAAGCACTTTCTTGCTTATTAAAAGTGGATTAAATTGTAAATAGCTGAAGACAATGTTAAATACACTTTGAATTTTTAAATATGCATTTTTCTATCTTATATCTTCTTTGTACCTGTCCTAATTCCATGTTAACTTGAGTTTGGAGGTAAGTCTACTGTCATCACCATCATCATCACAGTTTCCATCACTAACATTTTTTCTCTATGTTAGGAGTATCACTGTGACAGTATTCACTTCCCAAATACATGCAGAAAATTGTTATCTTGGGCATGACTTAGCACAGCTGCATAATCTTTTCCTATTTCAGCAGGGAAGTATTCATGCTCAGTTTTGAATTTTTCAGCTGGATAAAAAGCTGCCTATTTCTTACACATTATTTCACTTACACTGTTTGGTTATCTCATACTTAGGCAATTAGAGTGCACTCCTCTCTTTTCAGACAGAAATGGAATCTGGAACCTTGGACTGGATTAGAAAAACAGAACTAGGGTATCTAAATCAGATTAGCTACATTATTTTGAAATATGTTTTATCCTTATTCTGCTGCTACTTAAATCCAGAGACACCAAAACAAGCCTGAGATTTTTTTTGGTGGAGCTCCCCAAACATTTAAAGTCCTACTTCTCTGCACACTCAGGAATAAACAATGCTGACACTTGAGCAGGCCAAGGTAAAATGTATCTCACATTCAGGCTCTTTCTGGATCCACAAGGCTGGTATTCCTCAGTCCCAATGGCTGGGATATATTGAACAAGCCATACCTCTGTACAACACACACATCTGACAGCTGGGGCTTTCAATGTTTTTTCAAACTTGACTGGAAGAAGCATCCATCTTCCCTACAGAGGAGCAGTGGCCTGTGCAAGAAAGAATCTAACTTGTCTTTGATTTTGACATTTTTTTCCTTCCCCTTTTCTTTCTCTAATACCTACTTTCAGGGTGCATAAGTCTCCTGTGTGCTACAGAGGAACTGTGTGGGTTTCACTACGTAGCCGGAATCTTACAGTCTAGGCTGAAATGCTGAAAACCACATTACAAAAGAACTGAGGTTATGTGATACAAAGATGCCATGCCTTTGTCTTTCTTAAGTGATTCTGTTTCTAGCTGGCCTTTCTGTGATGGCTGAGACTCCCACATTCTCCATGTAAAGGCTGTTCCACCTTTTCTGGCATATTTTAGGATGGATGCTGGATGAGAGAAAAGCAGAAGACACAGCGCTGTATCTGGGGTTGGAGCTGTGCCCATCAGAACACTACAGTGGTCTCAAACTGCAGGGCTGCACAGCCTTCCTTTCACCTTGTATCTGCATGCAGCCCTATCGCAAATAACTAACCGGCACTGCTTTGAAAAAACAAAAAGAGACCTACAGGGGAGAAGCCAGTAAATCCTTGAAGATGCACTGAGCAAGGCTTTCACATCCCAGGGAAAGAAGAAATTGTGTAGCTTCAGCATTTCCCATTTGCTCACTCAGTAGCTTGCTGATTAACAACACATTGTTCTTTAAGGAGTTCCACTTTGAGGTCCATAAATCTCCACATGGATTGCACTACAGTGGTTGGTGACCTGGAGTGAAATGCTGAACAGAAACCACTTTTTGGAACGATGCCTTGGTAAGAAAACTGCTACTGCATGGATTAGTAAAGTGATTAGTGAGGACCTTTGTTATTCCAAGGTTAAGGCTCTGGAACTGCAAACTTCTTTGTATCTTTCATTAAAACTTTGTTCTACTAAGAATTTAAAAACAGTGCTGGCCCATGCTCAAATTAATAATGTACCATTTTCTACCTACTTAACCCCAGGAAGGTGATACAGCTCAAGATTTAGTTTATCTTTGGCGCTATAGAACAATCAATTCAGTGTAAAGCACTCTAAAGAGTTTTTTCAGCACTTTTATATGCATTTTAGAGGAGATCTAAGATAACTTAAAAGTACAATACAAGAGAATAATTCAAAAAAGAAAAAAAAATACTTTGCTGAAAAGATTGAGAATTTTGATGCAGTTTTCATGTCACTTATACTCCAGTTTCACATGATATAATTCTTCCATACAGTGATCTTCAAAGTCATTAATGCAGAGGCATCAATGCTTTGCAACTATAAGCAAAATTTTTGAATGTCCTGTATTATATTCGTAGCTCTGTTACTACCAAACATGACTTCAAAATACCTGTGGTTCCAGCTATTTGATTTAACATCATAAGAAGTGAGAAGTACGTTTTTCCATATAATGTTTACTTTAGAAAACACTTTGTACATTTTTTATTGTTGTCATTTTGTCATTATTGTACATTTATTTTGTTTGGTTTTGTTGTTGTTTTGGGGTATTGTTTGCCTCTTTTTTAATAGAATACATTAAGTAATAAGACCTGGGATTTTTATTTGTTCTTATTATTAATTTGGCGACAATTATATACAATCATATTAGGCCTCAGGACAGTTGTACTTTACAGGAAGGTTCCAGAAAGCTTCTATGGCCATGCCATCTGCTAGCTTGTCTTTCACTCTTCCCACTTTCTACAGGGCCATTCTTTTAGAAGACAGAACTGCAGCTGTAGTTCAATCTGTAGCTGCACATGGGGGACTGTGACTTTCGAAGTAAAGAGGCTCAAGACAAAATCACTTTCAAATTCTTATTTCAAAAGACATGGAGGACTCACTGGGTAAATCTCATCTGGTTCCATTCTGGGTCATTCCAAACAATTCTTCTTTCAGAATTAGTTTGCATAGATATTGTAAATAAAACACTGTGCTTTCAGAAAGAGGAATGAGACAGTTGTATGCTTCCAATTAATTTCATCCATTGCCACCTCCACACAATATCCATTATGGTGACTCTCTAGTTTGCCTTGGCTATCAGCTAGGCTTTCTTTCAGTATGAGATTCATGGTCCAACTCCTATATGCTGATCCTACAGCTTTCTTGTTACGTACTGCATACATTTAACATGAAGATTCTAAGAGTTCTGGATTTGGGTGACCCCTGCATGTACAAGAGTACATGAGAATAGGAAAGGGAAGCAACAATCCTCTAGAGATATGATGCATTTTTTACCACGAGGATAACTTTTGATGCAGTAGGAAAGTTAGCAGAGAGCAAACAGATCTAAGAAAAGCCATGTAAGTTTTGTTGAGGCAGAGGGACAAGGCACATAAAAAGTGGACTTTTTTTTTGTTCTTTAGAAAATAATTCATTGAGTGCCTTCTGTTGACTTGAACTCAGGCTTAAAAAGCACTTAATCTTTTTAGGCTCTCAGTTTTAGAAAGTACTTGTTTGGATATGTGTGAGAGAAGGAAGCAGTCAGCTTCACTAAACAGCAAAGGTGTTATTACCCTAACTCTTTTAACAAACCAAATTTTTTCTCATGTTTTTTTGGCCCTACAGCAATATAGCGTAGTCTAGGGTCTTCCCTAACACATTTATGTCTATGTGGACCTTTAAGGTAGTGATTATTCTAGGGAAAACCAAATTAAATATTGTTTTCAAAATTTCTAATACTCAATAGTTTTTAGATATTTCCTATTTGTATGTTAAGAGCTGCACAACCAAAGATGATATCATTTTGTATCACTTGCCAATAAAGTACTAATGCATTATTTTCACTACAGAAGGAGACATTTTTCTCAGCAAGGAGAGATACTGCACTGCATTATTAAAAGCATTTAAAGTATTAAAAGCAGCTTATCTGGCCACTACTCATCTTTTGTATGCCTGAATGGA